ACGGAGACTTGCCACGGTCTCCAACCCTCCTCCTTTCTCATCCGGGCTTGGGACCGGCCATGACGGAGTTATATACCGTATTTTCCCATTGATAACGTGCACCTTATGAACTCCGCGCCCCTTGTACTTCAATATGCTCGTTAAAATGTATAGATAACGCGCACCTCGTAATGTTTGATGTTCATGAAAATGTACAGCTGGCGTGTAGTCTATTTCTTGCAAAAAGTTTTGGGACAGATGATTCATGAAATAATGTGATTGGTCTGAAGGAAACTTTCCAAAAGAGCATTTTGATTTGCTGCGAATGGGAAGGAATGGGCCAATCAAGACGCAATGAAAATGTTTGGAGAAAATGAAAACAGGCTTTTTCAATCGAAAATCCTTATTAATAATGGACTCTTGCCGGGCACATATTACTGATCTGAAGGGATTAGTAGGTAAGTATTCAAAATTGACAATTATTCCGGGTGGATTTACATAAGGATTCAACGCCTTGATTTATCCATTAATAAATCTTTTAAGTCAACGTTTTGTTCCAGATGGGAGAACTGGATAATGACTGAAATTAAAGACTATAATAAATCGAGAAAGATTAAAATGGTGTCATGTGTGGAAATGTGCAGATGGATCTTTGAATATTGACAAGGTGTTACGATATAAGTTCTAAAAAACCGGTTTTTAAAAGCATTAGGCGATGTACTATAACACAATACTTCAACGTCAGAAACAGAAAATGACGAAGGACTAATTTCAAAAAATGAACTGACTGATATACCGAAGAAATTGTAAATGTTCTTCATTCATTTTACATTGATTCAGATGAGCAATTTTATGGCTTTGAGTGATCTTATTGTAATACGTATGTACAAAAAATGTTATTTTACTTTTTATGCTTTATTTTTATCTTATTTTGTCATATTAACCATTATTTTCACTGATATTGCAATATACACATGATTTCAGACTAATTTATTTTCATAGTGTGTACACAGTTTGAAATTACCGCGTACAAAATTAACTTTTAAAAAATGTGGACTTTTCTCGTTTTTCGTTGCATAACGCGCAACGTTGCTTTTTTAATTAAACTTGACTTTTTGTACAGATAATGTGAGCGTTATCAATGGGAAAATGCGGTACATCCACTCTGTTTTAATGTAAGTTATAATAGTTTTCTATGAATGGTAGGTGGCAGCATCTTTTGCTTTGTGATTCGATGATACCATCGCTCTTTAAAGACGTTGCTCAGAAAGCGTTGGAAGCCTTCGAAATTAGCCTCATGATGTTTCAAGGCAACTGATATTTCGGCTGTAAATGAGCATCGTGAATATGACTGTTTTCAGAATGACGATTTTCGTGTCTCGAAATATTTTATTCTTGGTGCAGTGAGTTAAAAATATCACATTAAAACTTAAAAGATTAAATAACGAATTACTGATCTAATACAGATGACGAACTGACCCCTCTTTCTCCTGTTTGCCTAGGGACGGGAGAGGACACTAAAGCAGGCTGCGGTTACATGGTATTTATCAGACATTAATCTGGGCACTCGGCCCTTGAGCCTGATACCCAAGACGATGACGGCATTATCAACAGCAACATTTGAGCAGCTACAATGCCAGATGCATCTCGCATCATTACGAACAGCTTATGAAAAGATCTTATGAGCAGTATCCGCTCATGAAACATCGTTCGC